ACCAATAAATCACACAGCACAAAGGAATGAGCAATATGTTTTTGCAGGTTTTTAGTTTCTAATTGGTTATGAGTTAAAACAACAGTCAGTGTGTATTACAGAGATGTAGTACAGTTCCTTGTCAGGGGACAATATTAGCCTTGAGGGCGACTATATTGGTTAAACTTCAATACTAATAAAATCTAATTGGCAAACACTGGTAATGTTTCATAAGCGTGTACCTACTTTATGTTGAAGGCTGCGAGAAAACAGCTGTGAAGACCTCCCACAACATGTTGGTTGATCAGTCATAGATTCGGTGAGAGTACACTTGACCCAGAAGCTTAAACTATAGAGGCCGATGTGAGACTCATTCTTTGTACAGCTGACCAACAACTTCCAGATATTTTCATTAATTTTCATTATTTCGTGAAACATAAACTACACGAATGCGTGCATTTAAAGTAGACATCATTCACAATTTCCACGCCTTTCTCTCACGGCAAAGTCATCGCCATTAATTTAGAGTTATTGGAAACTGTTGTAAGTAAAGAATCTCCCTCCGGTATCCTATACAGAGACCTAGAGTATAATTTTTTTTTCTTATTTTTCATTTCACATTTTAACGACGCTTTTACTTCGCAGTGTATCCCCAGTGACCAAACGAAAGTCGCCCACACTATGGACGTTATATTTACACTGTATTACTAATACTGCTTGCTTTTAAAGGCTGCTTATTTTAGATTCATTGCTGTCCGAATATGTATAGATGTATGTGGGAAATGGCGTGATTTTTAGGTAATAAATTTCGATTGGATCTACCGACAAGTCGACAAATCATCCTTTAAAATGAAATCAATGAAGGAAGTGTATATTAACAAAGGAAAAAGAATTACCAAAAAACCCCAAGAAGAATTAGACCGCGTGTTCTGGAAGGGCAAGCGTCTTCTGCTTTGTCAACGGCATCCACAACGTAAACCTCAGCCAGTCTGAGGAATGTCGGAAGTCTACTAGGGATTCTAACGAGTATGGAACGCACATTATTTATAACGACTAAGGAAACAGAATGGTATGTTTCTGTCAGTTGATACCTATCAGGAAGTATTGTGAACAAGTATCAATTATAATATGTAAACCCCAAATGTCGTCGTAAAAGTACGGTTGTTACCATTTTAAATTGGAAAATTCAAAATTGACGAAACGAAATTATCACGCTTATTATACAGCTTAGTGCATAGTTGTCCCTGTTGGTCGATCAAGTTATTGATTTTCCAGTTCTAGCGTGTCTGATGGACCGATTCAACATTATTCGTATTATTTAAAGATTTTTTAAAAGCGAAACTTCATTACCTAACAATCACATTTGTACCTGTTTTGATAAGTTCTTCGAGTAACTCAGCCAGGTATGAAAGCAAAAAATACTGAGCCAAATGAGGGGCAATGTTTGTTCCAATGAGTAAGCCGATGGTTAGAGGATGTTATCACCAAATTAAACAAAGGTATAGCTTATAAAAATTTCAGCTTCATGCATTGTCTTTCGTTTTGGCTTAAGACGTACTTATGAAATACCCGCCATTATAGTTCATAACTATATACTTTGCATCGCCTTTGACATGTGTTTGAAAATAAAACCAGAGAACGAGAAAGTTTGGAAAAAAATCAAAAGTCAATGAAATTCAATTATTCGGGTGTAGAACTAACTATGTAGTGTTGAAGCAAGTAAATAGTATTATGAGCCTGTTTCAACGGTCCCGATTGTGTTACACTGCGATGCTGCAACAGTTTAAGCCTTACTCTTGATGTCTGTTTTCCATCCTTGTATTTGTTTGGTGGATTTGTATTTATCTTCAAAACATTTCTCACCTTATTGCCGTGAAGAAATAGTAACTTGATACATCTGATGAGGCAACACCTACAGAAGAACTGATCGCCCTGTTTATACGGCACATCACCTCTCCCCATTACCTCGGAAGTGGCAGACATTAGGATGGCGCCATATTGTACACCGCGGTCATTTGACTCCTGATATATCTTGAATCTAAACACGTGTTACTAGAGTAGAATTACCGAATTTTCCTGACAAATAACGTATATATGGAAATACAAGGAAACGGAAATATTGTCATTCAGCAATCCTGTAGAGTACTTAAACATCTTTTTATGTTTTATAAGTAAGAACATACTACGATTTAAGCATTACAAAGCTATTTAATGGTTTCTTATTCCTCGCTCTGTCATTGAGTTTTGCAATATGGAATTCTTGGTCCTCCACTGCTTTGCACTGTCACTGAGTATTGGGAAACTTTTGACCATAACGTCAAAGTAAGTACAAGGGCAATGAGACCTAGTGTTCCCTAAGATAAAGCGTCTTTTGTTTCATCGACGACACCCTCCATGTAAAACTCTTGTAGCAGTAAAGTCATCATGCATTTTATCAAGCATAAAATATATCGACCTTTCACATAAGTGTCTATGTAATATTGAATTAATTAAACAAGTTTTGTTATATTATATGTCACGAGCCTTAAAGTTCGAGTAGTTTCGTATCTTTTAAGTAAAAAGTAGATTTATGTAAAAACCGTAGATGGCAGTCATTGGCGTCATTATCATCAAGATGGCACGATCACACTGTCGGTAATTAATATCTTATTTAGTTTTAATCTAGTTATAATCTGCTTAAGACCGCAAAACAAAAACGAAATATAAACTGCTGTGGCATTTATGGTCGACTTTAATGACTAAGCTCTCGCATGTGAAGACAATATTGCTAATGTGCAATATGTGCTCCTGCAAAACCTTTAAATCTACCAAAGATGTGTTCTATAACAAGGCATGTTTCACATAGTTTTCTGTATATTGGCGTTGAACATTTAGCTAACACGTCAACATATACAATGTATACTGTATATTCATTTGTTACTTACTGAATATTTGTCACTTGATATAATTAGATTTTTTTTGTTCTGAACATTATAACGTTACAAAAGGCATGTATTCTTCTGGATAATTATTCACTGCTTGAATTGCAAATGGTAAAACGTGTTTCCACTGCACTTTAGATATATAGTGTTAACTTTATTTTGGGTGGAGTAGGAAAAGCGACTCTATCTTTTAAAATTTGTTTTACGGGGAATTCCATGATTATACCATATCGAAGGTTAAATCTCAATGTCATTCATTCCTGATGTTTAGTGTGTGACATTGATTTGGCTATCTACTCCTTTTGTTTCCTTCACGCAGATCGATGAAGACTGTAGAAACGTTTTAGTCGCCGTTACATAGAAATACTCCAAATTCCTTTTGCGATCTGAAGTTAGATGTTTTGGACTCGCTATAGTGGCATTGTTCTACAATTGGTTCTCATTTCAGAACGTGACATTATTTGGGTTGATTCAGAAATTCAAATATACATTGGTCGTTGGCGAAACAAAATATGCATACCCTTCCGCAACACTTGGTCTTATACTCCTTTACCTATATCAACCATCTCCAAGTATGGTTTCTTTTGTCCCTCGTTTAATCGATGTTAAATGTAAACTCTGATTCCGTTGCAATATTATTTGTTTATTTTATTTTCCATTCTTTGTATATCAAGTGTTGCGTAGTGAAACTGAAACCTAGACCATCAATACATTCGTTTTGCTTTTTTACACACTGACATCAAGATAAGTGGCACATTCAATTTGTTTGTCAAGATTGTAACCTAGAATTGTCAGACCTTCGTTTGTTCTAAGGAAGGTTTTTACACCGTTGTTTTGTGTGACTTTGCATCTTTTTATGGTAATCAGAGCTAAGGTTTCTTTCCTGTTCTTAAATTGATAGAGTTCCGTATATGTCATGAGAGTCGTATATAATTTTCATATATTTATAAAGTATTGATTATTTGAAATTTTACATTAGATTCTCATTTTTTAGATTTATTCAGATATACTTATTTGTGCTATGTATTTGTAGAACGGTTATTGAATTAGGCGTACCGAATGACGTCAATAGCTAGGAAGTGGAAGGCGTGAAAGACGTAGGGTCACCCAGCAGTAGACGTAAGAACCTCCAATACACCACCATACTGGCTAAATGTAATCACATTCAAATTACGCCATTGTTAAAAATAGAATGTCTGAAACTCGGTGAGTATAGAGTTTCATTGAAGAGCGAGGAATCACGGGATGTTTGAAGCGTGTATGACGTGTTGAGTGTTGAACGCAATGTGTATGACCCGTTTTAAACATTTAACGTTCTGTTACACACATATTACACAATAGTTATTCTATTTTCATTACCATTCGTGTACGTGGGATGTAACCAACAACACCTTTGTCCCTACAATATGGCTTTAAGTCAGTGATAATTGTGGATTCCATTATAAGGTCACGGCACGTAAAATGTTATCTTACAGTCTCTTGTTCTTTAAGATTGCGGGTAACACATTAATATCCCCCTAACTCCAAATGCTACCTTTCAGAGGTGACCACAGCAGAAGCATCTGTACAGCAACACAAATCATTACAAGTGTTTCACTTATCTAACTAGTTTACAGTACAGTTAATTTCATACTCCGTTATATCAAATTTCACCATTCTATATCAATGAAACCACACGACAAGGAACAAAGAGCTATTGGGAACCTTCGTCTGATAATTAGTAGCAGCGCTTTCTAAATGCGCCGGTTCGTGTGCACAGTATATTGATCGTAATTAAAATTCTTTTGAGATCGTCTTCATAAAAGTCTTATATTTAGTTCTTAAATTGCCAGCTACAGTTTAAATTAATCCGGAAACAGAAGTTCGGCTTAAGGATCTGTTGAGAATGAATCAGAATCACAAGGATTGGTAACCAGAACGAGGTTTGCTGCCAGTCAGCTGATGTAGGCGTTGTTATCTAATAAAACATTGTTTTTCACTTAATGCTGTATAAATATAAGACTATGAGATTGTTCATAAGTAAGCGTTTACATCATCAATTCTGACATTAATAAAAAGAATTATCAGTTGCGAACAAGAATTGTGACCGGTTTGCCACTTATTCAAATGGAATCTTATATATAATATAAGATGTCGGGGTTGGAGTTTGGAGGTGTTTAAGCATGTACGTAATCTCCCTTTAATCTCTTATCATTCTGACAGTTTCTTTATTGACGGAGCTTGATTTTGTTTTGTAACATTTGATTCACCTATCCTTTGTTTTTTTTTGTAATTTCCGTTAATTGACAAAGATCCACCCATCCTTTGTTGTAAGTTTCAGCTTTTTATACGTATGTTTGTTTTAAGATCGACAAGTTTTCCGTTTTTGTAAAAGTTTAATTTACTTTTTCTATAAGGAAAATATCAATGGTAAGGGCGCAAGTAAATCGGAACAGAGTCTTAAGTAGCTCGGTGACACGACGGCTGGTACAGTAGAACAGTGGCTGGACTCTAATCAAGATGACTCTTGGGACGGGAAAGCTCGGAAACGGGTATGTAAAGTTAGGATATGAACGTCTATCCCATGAAGAATGTTTGACCGATTGAACGACAAACAGACAGTATATACAGGATATGTATGTATAGTTGTATCTACAATTGACAACAGATTATATAATATGATCGAAAGTTGATCATATTCAGGTATTATATGATTTATTATTATAGAATTCTGCTGGAGTGAAAATCTAAACATCGATTGTCTAAAACTATTAGAAATTCAGTCCTTCAAGATCAAATAGTATGTTTGTATTGTCAGTTACAGAATAAAGAGAGATATAGTACAAAATAGGTACAACATGCGGACGAACCTGTAGTGCATCATTCTGTACGGTATTTGCGGTTTTCCTACAGATGTAAAAGCTGTACTTCTTAAAGAAATGTATCCAGCAAAGCACTATATCAACGTACAGTGATTTCTGGTATATCTTTACTTTGTCTCCATGATACATGAGGACATTAATTGATTAAAACCTCGTCTTCATTACGTAAAGAAGAATATTATAATGCAAATATTAATTGTAATAATGGTAAACCATTTCTTCCAAATTCTCTGCGAAGCATGATGGTATCCGTGTGTGACTTGAGGTATCTACTCAAACCTCTTACGCATGTGCAATGTAATATATATGACATGCATACATGACGGACATGCCATGTTATATATACGCAAAAGAAACTGAAGTGTTCCGGGAAAGGGAAGATGACCCCGAACGTACGCAAGGTCAATCGACACCCTTCGTTACCTTGGAATAAATATAGATTAAACATACCTAGTGGAAACGGAGATGAAGCCATCACGGGAGTAGTGTATGATATTATCACGTATGTAGTGTCACGTGGTTTGTTAATTGTACAGTTATAACGTTTCAATAGATATACAAATGTGTTGAGGACGGGATAAACGCGCACAAAAATACGTGTACGTGTTATTTTTCGTAAGGATAAGCCTACACGTAGTTTTCTTTAATAAGTTAACATGTACAAGTATACTTGTACAATATATGTTTTATATCAGACGTAAATAAGTTCCAGTCTACAAGGTTACTGACGAGTGTACGTGAGTACTACATGGACATGTTGTACCATGTTATTCCTTATCTCTGATTGAAGACATGGTTCCATTTGATTACAGTCAGGTACATGTATTTACCTTTCTATAGTTACAACCACGTCCATAATCACCATCTGTTTATAACAACAATGGCTAGAATCAAAGGACCACTTGTATACAACAACAACAACTTGTTAAATAAGGACTACCAATATAAACTATCACCCGTCTATTAATACCATCTGTCTATAAGTAACACCGGTCTATATCTAACACCTGTCTATCACTAACACATGTCAATAACTACCACCTGTCTATAACTACCAGCTGTCTATATCTAACACCTGTCTATCACTAACACCTATCTATCACTATCACTTGTCTATCATTAACACCTGTCTATAATTAACACTTGTCTATAACTACCACCTGTCTATCACTACCAGCTTTCTATACCTACCACCTGTCTATAACTTACACCTGTCTATAACTACCACATGTTTATAACTACCACCTATCTATAACTACCAGCTTTCTATACCTACCACCTGTCTATAACTACCAGCTTTCTATACCTACCACCTGTCTATAACTTACACCTGTCTATAACTACCACATGTTTATAACTACCACCTGTCTATCACTAACACCTGTCTATCACTACCAGCTTTCTATACCTACCACCTGTCTATAACTTACACCTGTCTATAACTACCACATGTTTATAACTACCACCTATCTATAACTACCAGCTTTCTATACCTACCACCTGTCTATGTCTATAACTACCAGCTTTCTATACCTACCACCTGTCTATAACTTACACCTGTCTATAACTACCACATGTTTATAACTACCACCTGTCTATCACTAACACCTGTCTATCACTACCAGCTGTCTATACCTACCACCTGTCTATAACTACCAGCTGTCTATACCTACCACCTGTCTATAACTTACACCTGTCTATAACTACCACATGTCTATAACTACCACCTATCTATAACTACCAGCTTTCTATACCTACCACCTGTCTATAACTTACACCTGTCTATAACTACCACATGTTTATAACTACCACCTGTCTATCACTAACACCTGTCTATCACTACCAGCTGTCTATACCTACCACCTGTCTATAACTACCACCTATCTATAACTACCAGCTGTCTATACCTACCACCTGTCTATAACTATCACCTGTCTATAACTACCACCTGTCTATCACTATCACCTGTCTATCACTACCAGCTGTCTATACCTACCACCTGTCTATAACTATCACCTGTCTATAACTAACACTTGTCTATATCTACCACCTGTTTATAACTATCACCTGTCTATAACTACCAGCTTTCTATACCTACCACCTGCCTATAACTTACACCTGTCTATAACTACCACCTGTCTATCATTAACACCTGGCTATCATTAACACTTGTCTATAACTACCACCTATCTATAACTACCAGCTTTCTATACCTACCACCTGTCTATAACCTACACCTGTCTATAACTACCACCTATCTATCACTATCACCTGGTTATCACTAACACCTGACAATAACTATCACCTGTCTATATCTAACACCTGTCTATCACTAACACTTGTCTATAACTAACACCTGTCTATAACTAACACCTGTCTATAACTACCACCAGTCTATAACTAACACCTGTTTATATCTTACACCCGTCTATATCTTCAACCTGTCTATACCTACCACCTGTCTATCACTACCACCTGTCTATCACTACCACTACAAAAATAGAGACAGTTTTGGTATCAACAAAAGGCATGTTGGTATCTTCAGTAGAGGTCAGTTGAGATAGGTTTACCATGTTAGTATCTGAAGTAGAGGTCGGTAGAGATGGGTTAACCGTGTTGGTACCTTAAGTAGGGGTCGGTAGAGATGGGTTTACCGTGTTGGTACCTTCTGAAGAGGTCGGTAGAGATGGGTTTACCGTGTTGGTATCTTCAGTAGAGGTCGGTAGAGATGGGTTAACCGTGTTGGTACCTTCAGTAAGGGGTCGGTAGAGATGGGTTAACCGTGTTGGTATCTTCAGTAGAGGTCGGTAGAGATGGGTTAACCGTGTTGGCATCTTCAGTAGAGGTCGGTAGAGATGTGTTAACAGTGTTGGTATCTTCAGTAGAGATCGGTAGAGATGTGTTAACAGTGTTGGTATCTTCAGTAGAGGTCGGTAGAGATGGGTTTACCATGTTGGTATCTTCAGTAGAGGTCGGTAGAGATGTGTTAACAGTGTTGGTATCTTCTGTAGAGGTCGGTAGAGATGTGTTAACAGTGTTGGTATCTTCTGTAGAGGTCGGTAGAGATGTGTTAACAGTGTTGGTATCTTCTGTAGAGGTCGGTAGAGATGTGTTAACAGTGTTGGTATCTTCAGTAGAGGTCGGTAGAGATGTGTTAACAGTGTTGGCATCTTCAGTAGAGGTCGGTAGAGATGTGTTAACAGTGTTGGCATCTTCTGTAGAGGTCGGTAGAGATGTGTTAACAGTGTTGGTATCTTCTGTAGAGGTCGGTAGAGATGTGTTAACAGTGTTGGTATCTTCTGTAGAGGTCGGTAGAGATGTGTTAACAGTGTTGGTATCTTCAGTAGAGGTCGGTAGAGATGTGTTAACAGTGTTGGTATCTTCAGTAGAGGTCGGTAGAGATGTGTTAACAGTGTTGGTATCTTCTGTAGGGGTCGGTAGAGATGGATTTAACGTGTTCGTATCTTCAGTAGAGGTCGGTAGAGATGGGTTAACCGTGTTGATTTACTTTATATATAGCTAGAGAACGTGGTTGGTGTCTATTTTATATATAGCTAGAGAATGTTTTGGTTTCTACTTTAGATGTAGCTAGAGAAGGTTTTATTTGTCTACTTTAGATGTAGCTAGAGAATGTTTTTGGTGTCTACTTTAGATGTAGCTAGAGAATGTTTTTGGTGTCTATTTTATATATAGCTAGAGAATGGTTTTGGTGTCTTCTTTAGATAGAGCTAGAGACCATTTAAATGTCTATTTCAGTGATATTTTTTTACAGAATTTCGGCTGTATAAGGAAACTGTTGTCATTCTCCATGTATCACACTAGAAAACAAAAGGTAATTTGTAAATGCAAGATCCAATTAGAACTACAATGCAGTGGCGCAGGAAGTCATGATTCATATACGGCTTTGTTTTTGACGGTGATACAAGACTTCCACAACACTGCGTACCTTCACGCCTTACCGCGTTGACGCATTTGTAATTATTTTGTCTTCGTTCAGCGATCACGTGATTGAAGTCGAATTGTCACCTCCTTCTGTTCTTTCACACGTGACAATTGAAGAAACGCCACGTTAAAGTCGGTTACAGTTTTATAATAATCAAGTTCTTCCACGTGAAACAGAAATTACACAAATCTTTGATTCTTTGTAGAGTAGCATGTCTGCCTCATCAAACATAATGCAAATGTGAAACAAGGGTTGTTCTGGTTGTAATTTCTATTGTAAATGGGACATTTCAACAACGACAAAATGTTTTTTGGAATAGTTTTCAAAACATGACCACAGGATGCCGCCGTCGATTCGATAAATCAGTCTGAAATTTCTTCAAAATGTGATCAAACATTTGTTGAAAATTTCGGTTTTTCCTGTCGGCTGTCAATAGGGTTTATTGCTTTATCGTTTAACAACTTCCAATAGCTACGAGCTGATGTATTTTCTTATTCTATTTCTTAAATTCATATTATCGTCTATTTGTGTAGGTGTATTCCTGGACCATGCGATCGGCTGTTTGTTTCTGTGTAATCCTAATCCATGTTATCGTCTATTTGTTTCGGTGTTTTCCTTGGACCATGTTATCATCTATTTATTTCGGTGTATTCCTGATCCATGCTATCGTCTATTTGTGTTTGGTGTTTTCCTTGGACCAAGTTATCGTCTATTTGTGTTGGTGTAT